GGGGTGGGGTGGGGATACTTGAATGCAACATCCCACCAGTTTTGTCCGGTCTACAAACTTCAATAGCAAGCATTACATAAATGTGTGGTTTAAAAAGTAGGTTACCCAGAGTGCTCCATAGTATTTGGTTATATCGCCCACGTGCATTATTTCCATCACACTACCTCTCATCCAAACGCAGTGTCAGCGGTTATACTTCTGCTGATATGTCCATAACTCATGCTAACTGTATCTCATAGTGTTCTCATATCTTATTGGAACTGAAAGTGTTTTGTTTGTTCATCTTCAACAACAAATATGCTAAAGGCTGCAAGCCCATTTGAACCCAGGTTGACCACCGTGCACCGTCCTGTATTCTTTAGACAACAGTCTTCAAACATTTTGGACTGATTGGACCTTTGCGAGACCTCTGTCTATTTTGGCCAGTCCAAGTCCATCCATCCATCCATCCATCCATCCATCCATCCATCCATCCATCCATCCATCCATCCATCCATCCATCCATCCATCCATCCATCCATCCATCCATCCATCCATCCATCCAAGTCCATTTGGAATAATCTTAAATATTATTCTCTTTAAGAGAGGACATCCGTGTCTGTGAACTGTGTTGAAGTACAGTTCCTCTTTGCATGATAGAACTAAAAATATTGTTATTGAATCTTGAAAATTCACATTTGTAAGGGTGTCTGATCATCATCGTTCAAAATTCAAAGCAGAAGAGAACCGCAATAGACAGTACAGTACTGGGTTTCCATTTACTGTGCACGGCATTCATCATTCTCACTCACCTTTTCCTTATTTTCACAAATTCAAATACAAAACAAGCTATAATCACAGAAAGGCTTTATAAACTAATTAATTTAACTGAAGATTCTAAATGCAAACACTGCCCACAAAGAGCCTACACCCACTTGTGTGTTTTGGTCCAGGCTAATTGCCAATGTTTGAGAATGAATTCAGCACTAATCTAATGGCTCTTTGATGCTATTGTACATATAAAGCAATATGAACATATTGCCATGTTTGTCACTAAACGTCTCCACATTAGCTCTAATTTGGGGCTTTTTGTAGCTCTTTGGGAGGTATTTGAATTCTTTGACTTCCAAAAGTTCCACTACATTCTTCCCCTGGTTTCTTCATTCTTCCCCTTCTGTGTGTTGCTGGCAGGTAACTCAGTGTGCCTAGAAAGTTGTATGAAAACAGTTTTCCACTGTTAGATATTTAAAAGAGTTGATGTGCCTCCCGACAGTTGTTGGTTTGTTAATGCTGGTGTTTGATGTGAATTTGTACACAGGAAATCGGGCTTTGTTTTTCATTCTACCGATGACGTTTCAGGGCTGAAACACCTCGACTCAAAGATCTTTGAGTAAAGCATCCTCACGCACATCCGCAAATTAGGAAGGCTATACGGGAGAGAGTGTTAAGGTTTCTGGCAGGTAAATCTAAGTCCTTGAGATAGTTGGATCTTTTCATTTAATCCTTAGCTGGCAGATCTTTGCGCTGCTGTGCTGTAACGTCAGCTGTCTCGCGTTACCTTTGAGAGGTTTTCTTGGCAGGACGAGGGATGCTGCAGCAGCGATGTGTCAGCTCGGCTGAAGTTAAATTTTCCTCATTCTTTACCTCCTGTCTTTCCATTCTTTTCTCTGCTTTTACTACTAGACGTTTTGTCAATAGTGTCTTTTAATAACCGAGGTGTAAACATATCATGTATGGCGCATCTAGAAGTTGTAAAAGCATCACAGTGTCACTAAATCCCTCGTCCCTCCCAGCCAAGTGCACGCCCCACTCCCTTTATCATGGCGGTGACAGTAGAACGCTGAAGGTGAAAGTAATATATTCATCGCTTGAACCTAACCTTGTTTCTGATACCAAACTTGTGCTTCTAAAATAAGTCTCCGTCCTTGAAGGGTCCCCGCTCTCTCTGTGATGGTGACTTTGCCATTTGCACACATGGCGAGGCAGACAGGCCGAGAGCACTCAGAGCACCGAGGGGAGCCCACTCTGCCATAGCTCCCGTCTATTAATCAAGACAAAAGAGGTTGTGTCCAGTCAGCGCAGTCAGGAACAAGCATCCATCACATTGTTTGTAACCTAAAAACACTTTCGAACAACCGCTCGCACACAGAGACCCTGTTGTCATCCTCTGACAGTCCACCATCACATCAAAATGGTTTTTGCTTGTTTTCTGTGAGCTTTTGATTTATAGTCGCTTGAGCTTCTGCATCAGATCAGGGTCTTAATCAATTTCCATTGTTACACTGAGGGTTGAACATGGTGAAAATGCCCTTTCTTTGTTTTTACACCTTTTTTTGTTGCAAGTTGAATGTTTTCATACAGTTGATTCGAACACATATCAATCATCCAAAAAGTCTTTGTTTCAAATGGTTACCAGTCTGGCAGCATTTCATGCCCTGGTTTGGCTCTCTGGATTTTTTTCTTTCTAATATGTGTCAGTGACACCATTCACAGAGCTATTTTTGATGTGTCAGAATACATGTGTCCTAGTAGTCACCTCAGCTCACTTCCTGGACTGTAGCACATTTCCATTCAATTCAAAAGCAATAGTAATACACTCGATGAACACACCACAAAAACATGCCAGGAAATAAAGAAACAATTATATACATGCTACTTGCTAACTTACTGCAGTCATCTCTGCTCTTTATGATGAAAATATTGGTACCATGGTTTTAAAAAAAAGGGGGTCCAACGGGTTTGTTCTCTCTTAAACAAATCTCAACAAATTTCAATAAATCTAAAAAAAAAGGGCTGCTCTCAGTTCTCAGTCATTAATGCTAACAAATGAAAATATGTCAGATGTGTTTGTTATGCCTGTTGGTGAAAAGGCTTTCATCTATTACTAATGATAATGTTGTCAGGCAGAGCCTTGTGTTTTTCACGTTTCAGAGTATTAACCTCATCATTCGTAAACTGCGGGGGCCTCCGAGCATCATCTGGTTCATGAAGTGTTGGCTGCTGAGGCTCTCGGAGGGACTGCAGTATTCAGTATCAAAGCTCATTCATTGGGATACAATATGCAAGGGACTTAACTCATAAAAATGCTATGGGGAGACAGACCCTTTGATGCAATAAGTTGTTTGAGCTCTTCTTTTTTAAATCAGAGGGTGAACCGTAAGTGAGGTGGCAGCCAAAAACATCCTTTGATGTGAGGAAAAGTCTTTCAAGGTAAATTAATTAAAAGCCAGCTGACTACAACAGACGACATTTACTTAATTATGGAGGTGCATGTTCTTTTCTAATTCTGCTACCACAACTACACAACAGAACGCAGCAGAACTCAA